TCATTTACTTCATACATCAATTATTTCATACAACAATGATTTCATAGTAAATTATCACATACTACATTTATTTTATTCTACCATTACTTGATACTGCATTTATTTCATATCTTACATTTCATTTCAACTCATTACACATTGCTTATATCACCTACATATATATTTCAACACACAGATTTTTTAGGCCCCGTTTGGCAGCGTCATAAATTTAAGTAACAAGATTTTTACTGAGGCAAGGTCAACTACTGATTTCAAGGTTAGTAAAAAAAAGTTGAAGTAATGGACTACCTTCAGCACCATAATACCAATATTACACTTTCTACCCATATAAAGTGTAATATTGATATTATGGAGCTCAAGATGGCCCAAGATATCAATTTTTTTCACAGCATTAATGAAACCAGTAGTTGAGCTTTCCCAAGTAACAGTTTTATTACATTTTCCCCATTGGTTTATTTTTTATTGAATTAATCAAGCAATATTACACCTAAATTTATGACGCTGCCAAACGGGGCCTTATTTCATTTCAGAATAGAATTACGTCCCGGACTCTTTAGTCCTAGAGTTCAAACTCTAACATCTTAAGTTTTTGCCCCGCGTGTAGCTAGAAGGCATACTCCTTGGCATCATGGCGGCTGACAATATTGTTGAAATTCTGTCTCTTCCTTCTCATTCCTAAAAATCCATTCTGCTCATATTTCATTTGTCACTTTTTATAAAAAAATAACATACATGTTTTGACTATGTTTTGTCTTTGTCTGAGTGGCATCTTTTTTGTTGTCTAGTGCTGAGATCCCCATTGTCTTGTCTAGTCTTTATCAATAAGAATTTGCTCCTGTCAATGTTTCACGTGTGCTTCAAACTGTTATTCAGTTTTATATTCAATTTCTTTTCAAAGCACATGTTGAACATCTTGTACGTTGTGGGATGCTTTATGGTATACCATATTGCTAGAATAAAAATTTTATTCATTTTCTCTTTCTTAGTCTATTTTCTCTATTTTTCTCTTCAGTTATCATTCTATATCTCTATTTTCTCTATTTCTCTCTTTAGTCATCACTCTATATTTCTACAGAATCAAACTCTACAGCTCAAAATACCCTTACTAGCCACTTACAGTTTATTCATAGCTCTACTCTCTCACACTCTACATAATGACTGGCACTGACACCCATCATTTACAGCCCTCAAGGATACATACACAGACACACACAGGCAAGGAATGACTGGCCTGCATGACCAATACAAAAGTATACATGCAGGCACAGCAGGTTGCAGCAAGGCGCATAAGTCCTGCATGACCAGTACAAAAGTATACATGCAGGCACAGCCGCTTGCATGAGTGGCTTGACACTGCCTAGCAACTGCATATTACATCATCAAAAACATTACACAACCCTGCAGAATACACATCAAATCCTGACCAATCACAAGCACTCATTCAGCCTGCAGAAAACCTCACACAAGGCTGCACAATTCTGACCAATCACATCCAACCATTCAGCATATGTATTCCTCATGTACCTAGTCACACTGCCTCATGTAGTGCCCCCCTTGGGGCCAAAATACCTCACTCTTTTCTATATAAGGAGGCTCTCCTCCCCCTCAGTTGTATCTTTTTTCTTTTTCCTCAGCAGAGTACTGCACCAGTGTTTCCCCTATAACATTACCCACCTGCTCAAACATTATTATTATACTCTCTTACAAATTTTACTTACATACATACCATTGAAATAACAATTATTACACATCTCTCAACACTTATATAAATAACCCCCCCCTTATTTTTGGAGCCCCTTCAGCCAACTTGCACCTGGTTGAAGCCTTGACCCTTTCATTACATATTAATTACATATAAATACCTTACACGGCATACCATCCACGGCTCAGGCGACAGTTATCTTTTGATAACACTCCACTATCACTAATAAACCTGCCAATCTGAGATTGGTGGGCTTGTTTTAGTGCCTAGTGAACCAGGAAAGGCAGAGGCAACCTCACACATCCCTTTCCGCACTCAGCAAAAGATTCTCAGGAATACTTTTGAGCTTAACAACGTAGACTACTTAACAACTAGTCTCTTCTAAGCAAAAATATCATCAGTTCTCTGCCTCTTTTCGCGACCCTCTGAGCCGTTCCAACAAAAAATAATTTTTTGTTGTCAAAAATCTCCTCAAAAAATTTTCCTTCTCCGGCCCTAATTTCATCAAATACCAGCTGAGGCATTAAATGCCATCTCTTTTACTGGTTTCCCTGATCACAATCAGATCTTGAAGCTTAGAGTAGGAGCACCTGTAGTCCTACTGTGGAATTCAGGAATTGAACAAGGCCTATGTAATGGAACAAGGATACTCATCAAAGGCCTTAGTCAGAAAGCCATAAGCAGAGAAATTTTGACTGGCCCATGCAAGAATTCTCATGTCCTGATGCCAAAGATCATTTTATACCATGAAGGCAATTCATCTGTAAAAGTGGCCTTCTATAGATATCAATGTCCTGTATCTTTGGCTTTTGAAATGACCATCAACAAATTTCAGGGACAAAGTATGAATCAAGTGTCTCTGGCTTTGAAGAGCCAGGTTTTTGCCCATGGTCAATTATACATGGGTTTGTCCAGGGTCACAATTGTGGCTCAGGTAGGTTTGGAGGCCAAATTGCTCAATGTTGTAGTTAAACATATTTTCCAGCAAGAAGGAGCAGGTTTAGAGCCTTGAAATTCAAATTTCTTAAGAATTTTTGGGTCTAGATTGACTTCTGTGAGGGTCCCAGATTCGGCGGGAAGTCCTCCAGTGGGAGATAGGGACCAAGATGATAATGTATTTCTGGGCTAAGTCCAAATTTGTAGAGTGTTATAATTATGTGTTATATATGGTCGGCGCAACCGCCCTTAGACACTAGTCTGATCAAATTCAACATCATCCATGCATGTTTGTAAAAGTGAACACATTGCTTTTATCTTTACAATAATAACTTGTGGAAAATATAATGACTTTTGGAGATTACGAAAACATCAAGGCTCCTTTCTTTCGTGATAACCTGTCCAAGAGTGAAAGAATCAGAACCTCATTCACAAGTAAGGCCACTCCCAGTAAAGAAAAATCAATTCACCTCTCTTGATGTGCTTTCATCTCTCTCATTAATGCCAAAGTGCCTAGAAGTGTTATCTTTGCAACCGGTTTCTTCCATCCCTGTTCAACCGGTAGTCGTTCCTCGGTGAACCTTAAATTGTTATATATGATGGGGGTTCCTCAGTTATCGGCTTGTAATTTTCCGAATGTCAGAAAGACTCACCATGTTCTCATCCAATCGGTTTTTGCTGCGATACCTTCATCCGAACTTGCAGTCCCGGCTTTGGGAGATTCAGAGCCGGACCGGAGACAAAGATTCGCTTGAAGGGCCAAGCAAACTTCCCCTCGCCCTAGCTACAACGGGTTAAGGCGAAACAGTGAGTAATAGTGAGTTAACAGAGAGCTGAGCAACGTGCATGATTTCTCGGCTTCACTGGCGAAACATTTTCTTCAAGATGCAACAAGCTGGACCTACGAGGTTAATATGATCCTTTGATTGATTTTCGAATTTCGTCAATCGGCTTTCTAATTCCAATTTCTTCTTGGCGAAATCTTCCAACGTAACGACTTTGTTCTTGGAGTCGACTCCCGAGCCCAAAGATTGAAACAGCTGATCGATCAATTCTGGGCTGGGATCCAAGGCATTTCCTTTGCTGGGGTAGATAAGGCAATAATATCGTTCAGATCTTGACCGACTGTACGATATGAGGAAGGCAAGGCAAGGAAAACAATGACGAACTCGGCATCGAATCTAGTCATGCTGGCGTCATGCTCAATCTTTCCATGTTCACCGAGCTCTTGGATGCTAAACCCAAACAGTTTACCCAGTCGGAGTGTCCCCACTATTGCAAATACTATCGCAAATGTCCAACTGAGGTTGTAACATTCTACAAGAGCTATCATTAACTTGTGGACTGGGATTTTCTGACTGGAATCTTTCACCTTCCTGTGGCCACAGTATTGTGTGAAGTAGAAAGAATAGTGAACCGAAGAGGAATGGAAGAGGAAATCGTCAGGGCTTCGCATCAATAGCACTATGATCACGTTTTTCTCATCAAATCCTTTTTTAAATTCAAACCAGCACTCCTGTAAATACGAAACACTTACAAATAAGAATGATTTATCATTGCCGAAATCGCAGGACATGGACAACCAAGCATCTTCCGGTGATATGGATGGGCCCCGTCGGGACCAGATCCACGATTTTCAAGCAGAGGGTGCTTCTCATCGCGCTTTTCTTGAAAGAATACTTGCTGCATGATTGGCTGTCTTCCAATTGGTAGAATGTGTAGTAATGCTTCCTCAGAGGCTATAAATGATTGAGAGTATCTCTGGCACGTTGTGGCAATGGGTTATATAAATTGTACCAGGAAGTCACGAGAAAAGAATTAAATAAGTAATACTGAGTTCAAGTTATAGAGTTCTACGCGGCTGGTACACAGCCTTCTCCGTTTTACGCCGTCACTCTCATACAAGTCTCGGTCATTTACTGAACAGAATGAAATGATTGCTTTGACCGCGAGTGCCGTGAGCCATAAAAGGAATGAATCCGCACATCCTGCCTCATCATGTGTCATAGGAGAAGTTAGGAAAATATTCAAGCAACAAGATGCCGGCTGATGCCAGACCGTGCATTTCCTACAAATGATCGCTTCCGATCTTCATCAGATCATCACAGAAGTGTACGTATACTCACCCATGACCCCAGCCAAGAATGTGCTTATCCAGTTTTAGGAGTACTGCTGCTGGACATCAATGGCTGGGATAGGCTCAAGTGGAGCTCGGTCCCCTGTTTGGATGTCAGGACAGGATGTCCGGATCAGACTTGGCAGGGAATCGATCCTCATTCCCGAAATCAGTGGATCTCTAGAGTTCTTACAAGCAGAGCAACAATCTAGCTGTTATACTTCTCACGAACTTAGGGGATGCAGCTTCCCTAACAGTAACCGATAAAAAAACGACTGTCGGATTGAATCAACTTTGTTCTACTGAGTGCCGCCTCAACATAATTTGCCTTGTATGAAATCCAGAGCACATTCATAAGAGTCGAGGATGGTTCATATCTTTGACCTACTTTAATTTCTCATGAACACTCTTAAGCATAAACACACTGCACTTTCTAGATGACAAGCCTAAACGCTTCCAAGCAAACGAGGACCGGAAAATCATGCCGAGCTGACATGACATCAAAGAAGTTCAAGTAACCAGAGACAAGGACGTGATGTAGAGTGAAGCTCTCAGCTAAAATGCGAGAGAGGATTGCATCATTTGGACTACTGCTTTCATTTCCATCGTCACCAGTACATAGCACTTCATCGTCCAACTGCATCATGGCAGATAGGGACCGCAGATACAACTAAGATATTCGGGAAATAGGACTTCAGAGCCAGAAGGCAAATGGTTTTTAGTGAGGAAGGTAGCAGAAGACTGACCCTGGGGTGCCTACTCAGGTCACGTTTGTCGGCTTTTGTCGGCGTCGTTTTTGAGCGTCATAAATATGGTGAAATGTGGAAATTTTTACTGCAAAACTCAATCCTGCAACTGGAGGACTTCCCGTCAGTTAGAATGGCTCTGCAAAACTATTTTTACAAGCTGTAAAGGCCAAATTTTTCCCGGGAAACCCAGTCTCCTGTAAAGCTATTTTTACAGGCTGTAAAATGGTTTTCCCAGGGGAAAACAAGCTTAGCACCCTGTAGATCTAGCTTTACAAGGCTTGTAAAACCAACAGGAAGTCATCCATTTCCCAGCAACATTTTAGCTCTACAGCCTGTGAAAATAGCTCTGCAGAGCCTGTAAGAGCAACAGGAAGTTCCCCAAATGAGGACTTCCTGTCATATCTATAGCCCATTCTGGCTTGACCATACAGGGCACTGTGAAATTGAAAGGAAGTCCTCCAGTATTACCAATTTTTTTTTTTTTTTTTTTTTTTTTAAGTGTAAGTTTGGCCTTTGGCATTGCACACTATGAATATCATTATTTCTACCTACAAGCTTTTTGTATGTTTGTAGCATGATTTTTTCCTGTACTTGGTCTATGGGGGCAAGTTCTGTAGAGGATGCGGGAGTGTAAGAGACAGTTTCATCTACTTAGGATTTTTATAGTTGGGGGACAGATTGGGTGCAACCATTTTTCAGGCTGATTCAAATTGGGTAACGGGTGTTGAAAGTGAAATTGGGGGTTTTTATAAAGGGTTTGAAAGTGAAAATGGGGTAGTGTGTAGTTGTCCAAGATCGGAAGTGGTAGCGGCCAGGGGTTGGGTCTGCCGGGATTCGAACGCCGGACTCGTCACTCTCTTCGAAGTGATTATACTATGTCGTCGCAGGGGAGACACCGAGCTTCCGTGGGTGATGGTTACCGCTAGGCCATCCAGGCCCTCAGTATTACCAATGATTCCAATGCACAACATGCTGTAACTTCAATCACACATAAATTGGAATTGGTGATTCTTTCCAAGTAAATACATAGATTCAGACTCACATCAGAATGCTATGGTAGTTTTTCCAGGATGGAAAAGAATTGTTGCTCCTTTAAGCTTACATGGCTCTACTTTGCATTGCCATATCTTTGGAGTTGATATCCACAAGAATATCCCACAGGTCACCAGGGGAATACCATGAGGGTGTCTATCACACCAGTTAATGATCACCAATTTGGATCAAATTACTGTTTGTTAAGAAACCAGGTATGATGGTTTCAAACAGGCCCAAACCTGACCAAGTCCCTGTTTTGGCTGACGTGTGAAGAATTTAGCATTGCTACTTCCCCCCCTCAATAAATGTCTCACATCTGACTGTGCAACTATCCCAAAATGTCTGTGCTTGCAAGCAAATCTGTTGAGAAGAAACACATTCCTTAAAACTCATGAATTTTCATTCAAGAGAATGTGAAACATCCTACATTGTTGCAAGTCAAGCACTTATGCCACTTGTTGATTGATGACAAGAATTGGGTTGGACAGGAGAACCAGACAAACAGAATCACATACATACCCCATCACATGAACATCTTGATGTGTATTCCCAATTCCAGTTCTATTCACTCATGGTACTTTTGTTCTTTTTGAACATCAAAAGGCACTGATCACTTTTCCTACTGAAATTCAGAACCATTACAAAACAACCAGCTAACCCAAAATTGGGCCACATATGATTATGACCTAAAAACAATAATTATTTACATGATCATTTTTTCTTCCTTTCCATCATTTATTTATTTTTTGGATTGTGTTTGGGTAATTTTATGTTAAAGGCAGGCGAGGGGAAAAGCACGCAAAGAGGAATGTTATTCAATAGAGAGAGAAGACAAGACCAACAATCAGAGAGACAGATTAACAGTCACAATACTCCTGAGAAGGGAGCGAAGATAGACTGGAAAGGAGGCGTTGCGCCGGGTTGAAGAGTGACCGAGTATCCGATGATTTAGATTGGGAAGGGGATAAGTATGGATCAATCAGTGGCTTGTCGGGGTTGATCAAGTATGCGGACTTGGGGAATAAGCATGACAAGGTTGAAAGGTCCAAGAGAATCGGACAAAGACAAGTGTTCAAGGCTTCTCGAGAACTTTGACTATTAACCAACTTGCGGCAGCGGCAGCCCCACCCACAACGATCGTCGCAGAACTCGCTTTTAGGTAGCCTACAAAGCCTATCTTAGCACCTGTAAAGTACGCCTGAGGGAAAAGGAGAAAAAAAAAAAGATACGGTTAGATTCAAGTTGCTCGCTTGTTTCAGTGTCCCTCCAATTTGAAGGACGACTGGTCAAGGAATCATGAGACACCCAAGTAACCAACTCACTTTAAATACACCAAAAATTAGCAAAGTTATAAACATGATCGCGATACTCCAGTATAATGCGATCTGAGCTGACTCAATAAAGAAATAAGGTCCCTGTGTTTGAGAATGTTTTCATGTCAATCCCATGGCCCAAAACAAAGATGAATTCAAAGGAAAAGGCGCTGCGTACCATGGGCACAAGACCACCAATAAAGTACGACAAGCCGATAGTTAGGGCGGAAATGTAGAGGCGAGACTCTGGAACTTCTTCTAAGCCTTCGCCGAATTTCAACAAGAAGGGGGTGATGCCGATGTCTTTAGCCCATCTGAGCTGCTGGTTGCCTCCATCGATCTGCTTGAAAAATTTGGGTTGACGACCCAAGCATCTCAAAAGCCAACGTGCCGTACTTTCCCCTGCTGGCTCTGCCGTGCGGTCGATACATTCGTCGGCTTCCGACTCGGCCCGAAGGAGTGCTGCGGCAACGGTACGTGAGATCGATTCGTCCAAGCCCATCGGCCCAAGAACTTCGTGCACCTCTCGCTCCATCTCCCCAGAGCACGACCTTGCCACTCGCTCCTTGGTGGTCTTTTGGAGATACTTGAAATGATCTCGTTCGGCTTCTGAGGCTAAATATCCCCCGACCCCCATCGAAATCGCTCCAGAGATTAGCTGAAAATAATCATTTGCAGTCAATAAACCCGCATGACTAGTCAAGAAGAAATGAGTGGTTTTGAATTGAATCCTTCCCTCTGGGGGATTAGAAAGAGGATCTCACTTCAGCTATTCCTCCAACTACCACCAGACGGGATGATCCAAGCGATGAGAGACCAGCGGTGAGCCCAAATGGAACAGTCAAGCCATCACTCAAGCCGATGATTCTATTCGAAACACAACATGCTAGTTAGTAGTCCGCCGGGCTTTACTAGACCTGGGTGATGTTTATAATCAAATGGAAAGAAAGGAACATGAACAGATGAAAGGGAAACATACACATCGCGAACGATATCAGGGTTGATGAGATGTCGCTCATCATCGCCTCTTAATTCTCTGCAACAAACCTGAATGTCTTCAGGCCGGCTCTTCTTGTCACATTTATTCAAGTGTGGGGTGATGTTATTTTTAGTATGGGTATTAGAGGAGGAGGAGAGTGAGCCGATCGAGCTTGATGGTTTCAAAGCATTGTCTGCTTCTGACTGTTCCGAGGGTCTTGAGGGCGCTTCATCCGAATAATAATCCCAAACTTTTTTCTGTTTCTGGTTGGGATTTTCAGTATTGTCGCTTGATGAGGCTGAGGGCCTCAAGGACGAGTTTTTGGGCAGAGGAACGCTTGTTGACGTGGCTGAGGTGGTGGATGAGGACTCCTGAATGACTGGCATGCCAGTTTCAACCATTTTCGTTATTTCTTCTTTAGACTGTCTATCCGTCTGGTGATGTGAGACCTTCTTGTGAAGATGGGCACAGTAATTATTCTTAAGTGGATGCTAGAGTGATGGTCTGTTCTGCCGGCTGGTTGGCTTCTGGGGGGTTTCGATATAGCAGGACCGCAGAAAATTTAAAGGACAGATAAGTTTCAGACTCTGTTCTGATGAAAAAAAAAAAAAAAAAAAAAAAGTTGAACAAAGGTAGAGTTTATGGGAGCTGAGTTGAAGATCTACAGCAGTATTATATGTTATCTTTCAGCTGCAAGTTAAGCTTCAACTGCACCCACCACCAGTTTATCAGGATGAGCTTCCCTCCCTGAAAGCGGAACCAATATGTAGAGAGGTTACAGGGTTTATGTTGGCAGACTTCAGCTGGTACTGCGGGCCTAAAGTATGTAATAGGGAAACAAGAGAAAGGGATCAGTGTCATGGATATGGCGTATTAATTCAAGATGCTTGATGTCTCAAAGACTTACCCCAGTCAGATGGTGTGTTTTATTGTAGGATTGCGTGCTTGATGATAAGTCCGGAGTCCAGACAATGCTAAGCAGCTCGTCAATCTCCGGGATCCGGTGTGGGTGTGAGCGTGTGATGGTCGGTATTTTTGAGTGATCAGGGTGTTCGAAGTAGAAACAGGTTTGAGGACAAAAGCTTGATGACTGACTTCTTGGGCATCAAGCTCAACAAGTCACCACCCATGCCACTGCCGATATCCGCGCGCTGTGATTGGTCAACATGCTCCTCACACTTGAACTGACCAACTCCGAGAATGAAGGGCACACAGCGCACTCGGAGCGTCCGGATCAGCGCGCGGATCTCTTGGCACTCTTCCGCTTCTTGAAGGTCTGTTGGCTGTGAACAACAACTGGAAGCCAGCCGGATGCTCTCCTTCATCAGTGCGATCGACGAGCAAGTTATACATACATACCAATCGAGCAACCGGTCAATATATAACAGTCGCAGTGCCGGAACATCTCCCAGGTAAGTGCACTTCACTTGGACCGAGATTCAGGGACCGGAATCAGAGAAGAAAACTGACATTTTCAAACACAAATATTTAAATGTCCCCGTCTATGATTCCTTGTAGACGAACGTGTTTTTAATATGTATTATGTACGTCGTCCTCTCGGCGGCGCGGCCCGCTTGACGTCATCTAGGCCCGGCCAGACTCAAAACACCACACCCACTGGAACGGGGAACGTGTGATGGACACACGATTCACGCAGCCTCTCATTCGGCAATAGTCGAACCGCTTAACACCTCCTCCTCATACCCTATCATCACTGTCTGACCAGCTTCCATCGTCCTGGGTTCAATCCGCTGCCTGATCACCTATCCCAAGTCACATCACCCAGCCAAAGCCACATCCTCAACATGCGCTCGTCCACCTCGCTCTGTGTCCTCCTGGCGCTTGTAATCGCCGGGCGTGTCGCACGTACTTGGGAAGCCTCCGAGCCTCGGCGAAAGAGGTTTACCCGCACTTCGACGTGTGCAAACTCCACCAGAGAAAGATAGCCTTCGAACCCCGCGGCCAGAAACGCTGCAACATGGTCACCACTTGCAGCAAACGGTTGGCCCCACCTCCCGCCTGCCAGGAAAGCGTCAGCCACGGCATTGCCTCATGCCCCCCTAGCCGAGAGGGGGGTGTACCACAGCAGAGCTGTACCAAAACCCCCTGCAAACACGGGAAACATCAGATTGCAACGTGCAACAACCCCGAGCACGGTACGCAGGCACCCTGGGGGACCGTCCCTAGCTCAAGCCGCCGCCCAAGTAGTTACCCGCTCCCACTCCCACCGAACCCTTACACCGACTCCCGCAGGTGATAGGATCCCACCGCATCCGGAGCATATCAGCAAGTAGGCACTAGGCAGCAAAACCAACCCGGCCCCCCTCATGCAAGTAGTGTATATAGTGTATGTAGAGGTCTTTCAGACATGATTGGTAAATTGTGCCGAGTTCCATAGGAGAAAAATCCCACTTCATTAAATAGTTGTTCATAACTAAACATGTATATAGAAACTGAAGTGAGCCATTCAGATAGTATTACCATACTATTTTTGGTTCTTTTAGATAGAATGATAATGGAATTGTTTTTGCTTGACTAGAGAGAGAAAAAAAAAACCCGTAACAGAGATGGTAACGACAGGTTTCTTGTGATGCATAGGTTCAAAGAAAAAGTAACACGTGAGGGTATCAAAGCACAACAAACCATGCAACTTGAAATGAAGAAAATCAAAGCAACCAAAATTCACTGCAAACATAACAACTATGATGTGGATATCCTGACGGGCAGGGGGGAACTTTGACCACTGGCTTTCCTGAGCCTTTCCATGACCGTTGCGCCCAATCCGACCTCAGAAAGACGCTCGACATAGATGATGTCCACTCGGAGCTCTTCATCGAGATATCTCAAGGCTGCAAAGAGGCGTTGGGCACTGATCGCTGGTTGGCTTTCTAGTCCAAGGTTTGAATAACAAAATTGGTGATGACCATATTTTTCTGACTGGGCACACGCGATGAACGATTTGTGGAGGGGACTGTCGTCGATCAACATCAGTCCTATCCGCAAACCTTTCGAGCTGTCTGTCTCTTCACTGCAGATACCCGATACCAGCTCGTCGACGCCTCGGAGTGATTCCTGTTGATCGGAATCTGAGTTTGGTACCAAGACTGGATCTAGAATAACCACCTTGGCATGAGGTGCGTAATGTTTGTATTTCATACCGGGGGTGGTCGGCTTCGCCTCCAACTCTTTGTCGCGATAATCCTGATTGTAAACTCCGGCGAGAATGGGCTTGCCATCGGATAGGTTGAGGCCGGCTTCAATCAAGCAAGCCTCGATGTCTTCGACGCTCAATCCGCCCAATCGGAGGATCCTCACTCGGCCATCCGGATTCAGGCCATCGACCACCGTGCTCTCGACGCCAACCTGACATGCGCCTCCATCAATTATCATCGGAATCTTCGTCTTCATGTCTCTTTCGACGTGTTGGGCGGTCGTCGGACTGGGCCTGCCACTGAGGTTGGCCGATGGTGCAGCAATAGGAACCCCGCTTTCAGCAATCAGCGCTCTCGAGATCGAGTGGGCCGGCATCCGGACAGCCACCGTTGGCAAGCCGCAGGTCACTAGGTTAGAAATCGGACAATTGGGCTGGACGGGTGATGTGGTGGGCACTAGAAGAGTGAGAGGACCGGGCCAAAAGCGTTCGATCAAGGCTTGGTAGGTCGCTGGAAAATTCCAATCCGGGGGCACAAATGTCTTGAGGAGATTGAGTGATGAGACGTGAACGATGAGTGGGTTGTCTGATGGCCTCCCCTTGGCTTTGAAGATCTTCGAGACAGCCGTCGAGGAGAGTGCTGAAGCACCTAATCCATAAACCGTCTCGGTCGGAAAAGCAACAAGATCTTCAGATTGGATCACTTTCGCAGCCGCTTGAATACCGGTAGCCGTTTGATGACAGTTGAAGAGCGGCTTTCCTTCGTTTTCTGATGGGCAGATACGCGAGCATGTTAGCAGAGGTTAATATCCCAAGAGAAATGTCACGATCTCAAAACGGTGAAGCTGCTTACTGTCTGTAAAGACAATGGAGTCGCGATTGCATTGGATCACATTGGTGGTCTGATCCTGGCTGCTGAGACCGTCCAAGGTTGTTCCAGCGGATTGTGACTCTGCGGTCGATGTCATATCTGCGAGTGACAGAGAGTTTAGAATTGGGATAAACTGGATCAGCTTTCCATACATATACATGCAACTTCTTTTATTATTCCTTGGTGGCCGTAGCTCGATGTGCACATGTAGACACATTTTTTTGCTTACTTGAAGTTGAAAGCGCAGATGAAGCAAGACTGACACGCAAACCTGAAACTACGAAGATGATTTGATTTTCTGAAAGAGACTCTGACGGATTGTTTGATTGGTGCTGTTTAGTTTTTTTGTAAAGAAAAAAATCAGAAACATTTCGAAAAAGATGTGAAAACATTATAAAAATTGAGGCTTACCTAAAAAATAGCGTGGCACCAATGAGACAGCGACTGTCAGAGGGATATGGATGTCAACCGAGCCGAACAAGATAGATTAATGAGAGAGGCGAAGTTCAAGCGATGAGAATAACGAATCCAATAAAAATAGACAGAAACAATGATCATGATATCGACCTTGTTACTGGTAAGATTATTCAGAAGCATCAAGTCAGCGAAATGCAGGTTACGTCCAAATCCTTGAATGGTAAGGATGATCCGAGACGGAATTTGTCGTGGACTATTCGACTGACCACCAGGAGGATAATAGCAAGAGCACACACCTTGCATTATGTGATGAGTAGCAGAACCAGTTATGCGTGTTATCTCCGGTCCCTGTCCTCTTTCGTGAAGAATTTGTCGATTTTCTCGTCGGCGATGGTGGTTGTTTGAGGTTGACCCTGTGCGGCTGCTGTGCCAAGCCAACTCGGCCTCGGCGGATAAACCGGCGAGATGAAAAATTGAAAATGCATGCGCCCGGAGATTGCATATCACCCTGTCGCGACGGGAGCACGTTACATAAATAAATACATACACTCTCTGGGGTTCTCCAGCTGGCGAAGGGATCAAGAAAGGGTAATACACGCCGGTGTCCTGCGTATTTCTGATAGACTGGCTTCACGGATGAACGAGAAGGCGACCAGCAGCTTTACACTGCCTTAAAGTGCAAGCGCTCCCAAGTTGAGGGGAGACTGTTTCTTGTCAGCTCAACAAGAGAGACGGGCGCATATCGACTCTCTTATGTCTATGCGTAGTATGGGCGCAAACTAACACAGACCAAAGCAATTGCAACTGGCAAGGTTATGAAATAGTACACGATGATTAGATGAAAAAGAATTGAATCATATAATGATGTACAACATTGCACACTCGGATCGAAGAGACGTGTGGAGAGAACTAGATCGAAGAACCAAAAGAACAATGAGTGGGCTCAAGAAAATGACATCAAGCTCTTAGCCTTCTTATTCTTCGCCTTGAGCTCGCTCTTCTTCTGTTTTTTAGACACCGAGGCTTTCTCGGCGAGCTCTCTTTCCTCCTTGATCGTCGAGACCAGGGCAGATTTTTCCCCTTTGGTCCGTTTCACCAATTCTGACCATCCGTCATTGGCCTCTGGACTACGATCGTTGTGGTCTATGGTCGGGCCCTTTCGTTTGCCCGTCGATGTGGCCGGCTTGTTGCTCGATGAGAACGTCAAGGACGGCTTGATGCTTGCGCGGGATGAGGTAGGGAGCGTGGATGGAGTATCAGGGTTATCCCGAACTAGTTGAAAATAATAGTGGACATAGATAGGTATGGCAATGTTCAGCCCCATGATAGCAAGGTGCTCTTTGATTACTGAATATTACAGCTGTTATTGTTCACTTACGTCTTATCTTTTCAGCCTCGAATTCTTCCTTGGTGAGGTGTTTGCCCTCTTTAAGAACAACCACCTCGGGGGAATCTTCGTCCAGTTCTTCATCTTCATCGGATAGACGACCCATGCCGGATAGATCGGTTTCATCCACGACTTGTGGTTGCTCGTCATCCCCGTCGTCGTCATCCTTATGGTTGATTTCCCTGGGTCTAACCGGGATGGCTGGGCGAAATGGATCCAAGATCTCGGTCTCAGCGTAGCCATCTTCATCATTTCCCTCATATCGTCTCCTCGACCTCGGAGGATCTTGGTCTTGTTCAGCTTTTGTCCCCCTCAACGCTGCATCGATGTTCGCCAGGAACTTCGGCCGATGATCGGTGAATGTCAAATCTAGTGGTGATGGGAACGAGAGCGAGGTTCATGTTCAATATCTAAACATTATCCTGTGTGATTAGTCTCATCATTCAAAGGACAGGAACGGCGCGTCTTGTTTCGTTCTTTTTCTTCTTTTTTTTGATGTTACTAATATGATGAAAAGACTTACTCCTAAATTGATGCGGCTTGCGATCGTTTGAGCGAGGTGCCATTGAAATCGTTGGCTTGTTATTCCCCTAGGCTCGACTAATTCGATGGCGATGCTGGGATGCTTCATAGAAGGGTTGATGATGTTTCCCCCTTCGAATGCAAGTTTCCCCCCACTTCACACTTCGGAACCCCCGACGTCGGGTACGGGGTCAGACCTCTCCTCGGGGTTCATGACCTTCCTCCGTGATCCATCACAGTGGTGCCGTGCAAGTTTGTGATCGATCTTATCCTCCTCGATATTGTTCAAACAAAGCTCACTGTACACTTCGCAACGAACCGATGACCCCTGCGCTATCTCTAGACGAGACCCAGTCGGAACCGGTCATCGGCGCATCGACAATACCGAATCAAGAACCCCTTCCTGATGAGCCCGGCCAGCAGGACGGTCAAGAGGGAATGCAGATCGATGGCCCGCCGGAGTCATTGAATCCTCAATCGGAACCTTGCTCGGCTCCGCTTAATCCTCCACCTAATCCGACCAGGGTCGTTCATCTCGCCTACAAGATTTCTACTAGTCAATCCGATGCCGCTCATGAGCCTACGATACCAGTCCCACCAATCGACATTAGTTTTGAAAATCTGAGCTTTAAAAACTTCAAGGAGCGTGTCTTCGATCAATTTCGCTCGCATCAGCCGATCTCCCACCTGTTCCAAGTCTTGGTCAAGGCAGATGCATCGGAGGAAATCGATTGGAACTATTCAATCAGCTCTCCTTTGGATGCAAGTCGCACCTGGAGTTTGACCACTCGCTTCAATTGGGCGTTCAGCAGGTTTCTGGTCGCTGCTAAGTGCTTCCCATCCGATGCAAATATTTCGGTCGAGCTCAGGATCGCTCTACCGAAATCAGATGATGAGGTTAGTCCTACATCATTTCTCGGGGTTTGCGTTTTGTGACTTATTTCATATAATTGTTTTGTTACAGCCAGCGAAGTTAGGAAAACATGCCATTCCACCAGAAACCTCCACGCCTGACGTCCAACCTTCCCGCACGAAGCCTACCTCTCCTGCACGTACCAATCCCGTGCAAAACCAACCAACGCCCCCCACACCCGCTCCTAGAGTTATACCAGCTGAAGAAATGCCACCACAAGAGTTGCCACAAGAGGAAAGACCGCCACAAGGTTTGCCACAAGAGGAAAGACCGCCACAAGATTTGCCACAAGAGGAAAGACCGCCACGAGACATGTCAATACTGGACTTTATGGAATTCTGCCATATACCTCGCGACGACACATATGTTCTGGCCCTCTTCACCTTGCATCAAATTCACCACTGGAGCGTATTCGAACGCGTCTCTGAAGAGCGATTGTTGACCCTTGGCTTCCCAGTTGGAACGGCTCGACATCTCACGATGGGAGTGGCTGAACACTTAACAACACGAACTCACATCCCCACACATGCCCCCGATCTACCACGAGAGAACATGACGATGGCCGAGTTCCTTCGATTCTGCCATATCCCTCCCGATGACAAACATACCCAGGCTCAAATCACCTTCCATGAGATCTGTCATTGGACCGTGTTCCAGTACATGTCTGAGGATGAATTGCTAAGGCTGGGATTCGCATTTGGTCCCAGTCGGTTAATAACCAGGGGCGTCGCAGAAGCCAGACGCAAATTGAGAAGAAACCGATCGCCTTCGTTTGATCACTTCATGGGTTGATGATATGTAATTGTATTGGAGTGATTCTCAAGAATATAAGCTTCAAAAAAATGTTCCGGAAAGATACCGCTGAGAAACCGCGCCTGATTAATTGGAAATGTTCGACTTCTCACATCGCATTGAACATTACTAAAGTTAGCTTGCACAATACAATGGTTTTTGCTTTTTTTTTCTAAGATGATTCCTCGGCTTACAATATCCATTTACAAGTAACACTTGCTCAAAGTATTCTTGGAAAAATGTCAAGCCAAAAATGAGGCAATGTGAAACAATCACCAAATCGATTCGAATATGCTTGGGATCCCGCTTTCATTCACAAGTGACGCAGGAAATCCTACTGAAGTCACAGCATGCAAGTTACACATAAATCAACCAGAGTATTTAGTCTCACAACTCTAGTTGTCCGCGTCAAGTTCAACTGCGCGCCAAAGGCCTACCAAATCTCATCGCCATCTTGAATTGCGCAGGTATATTTGAAAACCCTGCCATCGGTGGGTTCATGGTCGGCTGCGAGAAGCTTTTGTCTGGAATGATGAGGATGGAAATCGTTTGAGGACGTATTGCTGCAGTTCCCATGACAGGTGTGCCTTGATACAATTTATACTGTAATGGATTGGGGATGAATTAGATAGCTGATATCATCTCTCCCTCTCTCAATCTCAACAAGCATCATTTAAAGAAGCCCCTCAAGCAAGCGAGACGCAGAGAAACTCTGGGAGGGCAAGCTAGCTCAGATGCTGCAGGGCTGCGTACTGCCCACCTGCTAGGCAATTGGACTTGCAGTCACTTCGGGCTCTACCGCATTGCGATTAATCTAGAGGCAGAAAAAGCTTGCCTTTAGTATGAAGAGAAAGTATAGAATTAGAGTGTGCAAGAGGGTGCAAAGATATACAAGAATGACTACAGTTGACAATTTGTTTTACATTCTATTGAAGTAAGGAAAGAAGAACGCTTTAAAATATATTTGTCTGGAATGACCAATTCAAGTCGGTCCGAATGCAAGATCAAGTTCATAAATTAGCCGTCTCCATCTGGCAGCAGCCTCGTTGTCCACAGGACTTCGAGGAGCCCTTGATGGCTGGAGTGGAAGTTGGCCTTGCGCATCTAAGTGAGGGACCCGAGGCGTGCCATGATTTTTCTGGCTGGCACTGTCGTCGGTGATCCATAAGTACAAAAGCCTGGGATGGTTTACGGTAACCTTGAAGCCAAGATCCCGCGCGACCATTTGTCTCAAGTTGATCACTTTTGACTCCGTGTTCACATAGCTAGCCTTCTTTGATTCTTGCTGGAGCGCTTGTCGGTAATTCTTGTCGTCCCAGGCGCACTCGTGCCTTTCAAGTAGATCTTCGAAAAGGAATGCGGGAAGTGATACGGTCAGTGTATGGCTAAGAATCCGAAAGAAAAAATTCACCGGCAAGATTCCTCACCAACTACTTGGGCCATCTCTCGCAGAGCTTCCTCCATTTTAAGAGCTCCTAATCAGTGGCTACTTCTCTTGGATCTAGAACATGAGCAACAATGCGGGGATTTGAGAGGTTCAGAGGTTGGCTTAAAAGGGGAGCTGTAGGCGTAGAGTAGGAAAGAGAAAGTGGATATCTTTCTTACCTTGAGCCTGGGGCAAGGTAGACAAGAGGAAGGGAGTAAAGGTATGTCGGAAGACTTGGATGGTTTGTGAGGCACGGTAAACAAGGGAAAGACACTGGCCTGTTTATGTTGTGTCCATTTGATGCTCAGCCTATCTTCTGCTTCCTGCTTTCCATTAGCACAAGCTATGGATCTTCCCCTTGTCCACTGGAGTCTGGCACAATGACTGCTGAACTGGACGCGCTGCAACTGCTGAGTCTCGAAGACGGGCAGCAGCGCGCAATCATATTCACCAAGCTCAGTCATGTAACTTTGAGGTCAAACTTGACACAAGTCCCTCCAAGGAGGTCGCTCAGTGAACTCCAAAGGAGCCAAAGGAGGGACTAGGTATCTGTTTTGCACTATTTTTGGTGTCCTCCCTACACATCCTCCTATCATTCGCAATAGATGTCATCTATATAGGACTACATGGTACCCATAGATAGCCAAAAAGGCCAACATGTTGAGTTTTCAACTCTTCTGCCTACTCTTCCCCAAATCACTCCTTTGTTTCCCCACTTTTCTCTACATTTTCTCTTTCTTAAATCATCTTGAAGTAGACTGAATTATGGTTCTTCATAGCTAGTTTTCTGTTGAATTTTATGCTTGTTAGAGCATCTTTACCGGTTGAGCTAAAAGCCAGCGGTTTCAACTCGCGGCTATCGCTAAGCTACTATAGCAAAGCCTATTCAGCCACACCGATGTGGCTTGAGGTAAGCTGTGTGGTGTGATTTGAAGTAGAGGTGTGTGAGTGGTTGCGGGAGGGCACCAAAATGAAGTACTCTCACAGGTGTTTGCTATAGCTTGCTTGTGAGCTAACCGTTGCTAGATCTAGCAACGGTTAGCTCAAATTGTAGCCACGAGCTACTTTGGCTTGAGTTTAGCTCAGCCCGGTATGGTTGAATATTGCGGCTAAAGTCCTTAGCTCGCGCGGATTTAGCCACCGATACGGATTCTCTTAGTAGTCTAATTAGAACTTCAACAGCAACGTTATCAACAACTCTTGTCTTCATGACTAACCTCTTTCTTTTTCTATTCTCATTATTTGATTCTTTAAAATCTGGTTATTGAGAATTAACGCCTCCCAATATTTGTGGTTTAACTTTTGTTTTATCTTGATTAATTTTCTGACATGACTAAAAGAGACTGAGAAGGCATGTTACGTTATTTCTTTCAAGAACTCATAAGTTTATTCCTCTCAGTTTTTATTCAAAAACCCAACTTTATTCAATTCCCTCTCAACCACTTTTTGGCCATTTGTATTTAGCCTATTTAAAACAGACTAGCTGCAAATGAATAAAATTATTGGTTCTATCACTCATTCTCCGTGAACCTCTCCCAAAAAAGGCCTTCACCTTTTTTGTGCCATTTTCTCTAAAAAATCCTCAGCACTTGCCGTCTTCGAGTTCAAAATTTCAACACAACAAAGGTACTATGTACTTTTCCCAGTCACAAGATGTGATCTCATAGGATTTTGCAACTTTTGCAAAAATGTTTTGGAATAGTTGGACAACCTGCACCTGCAGGGGAGGACCTCAGGGACCTTGGTCCTGACTCCTGGTGAATTACACAATCCCATGCAAAAGGGATTGCAAAACTCTCACGTCCCTTGTAGTTTTTTTAGGGAACTTTTGCAAAAGTTTTGGGTTTTTTTGCAAAAGCTTTGTCAAACTTACAAATCTGTTTTGGCAAAGGCTCACTGCAAAGATGGGGCTTTCCCTATTCTCACCCTCACAATTTGGGATGCAGCAGTTGGCTTAGGCCTTTGAATTTGCATCTGATGAAGCTCAAGATGCCTCAGTTTCCTATTGTGAAAACAGTGTTTTATAGCACGTTTTGGGGAGGAGTAAAGTAGCAAGAAGGCAAAAAAAGTGAAAAACAACAAAATATGATATTCCTCCCGCGCGAGACATGACCGCTTAGCCGCAAGTCCCTCCTTGGAATGTCGCGCATCCATCGGAGGGACTTATGTTGAGCTTGCTTTGAGGTCAAACTTGAGTTGGCGATCAGACATTTCATGGCGTGAATCGTCTGGACTGCCCAATAAACATTAGGACTTAGGCTTGGGCGGTGAAACTATAAAAAAGGCTGATGGGTATGCCAGGGCCCAGGGCGCATGGATGAATCGGCACGCGAGAAAATTGTCAAAAAAATGGAGAAAAAAAACTGTTGCCATGTTACATTATTGTGACCGATTCGCGCTGACTCCGGAATGAGATTTGGCATAATGAGAATACCCGCTCTACATACACAAGCTGGCAAACCCAGTCTCACAGATTCTTCAGCCGGTAAGTTGGTGAAATGCTTCAGTCGCACCAGCTTGTTGGGTAGAAATTTTGCTTTGTGGATGATGACCAGTTCAATGAGTGGACTGAGTGGACCTGCTAGGTCCCGCTTGCCCGACAGGCTTGAGTACCAGGGAGCAAGTGCACCTTGAACCTGATCGATGAGGAGGAATTTTCTTCCAACAATAGACACTGCTTGCTCGATGTGGAGGAATCTTCCTGGTGCCCAAGGATGAATCCCCCCAGAGCCGGTAAACCCTGTAGCTGCTCTCCCAAGAGGACTTTGGAGAGGAGAAATCCTACCCAACAAACGATTACATCTCATCAGTCATCACTTTTTCTTGGGGAGGTCGAGGAATCTTGTTTGGCCGGGTCCCGAGGTGGTTATTACTCAGTGCTCATCATCCACTGGGACGGTTGATAATGAGAAAGTATGTGTGATGTGTTTCTTTTTTTCAGGATTTGCGGTAACAAGGGAGGAGCCCACCTTTTGAGGTTTACTCGCGTGCCGTTTCAAATGCCGGCCCAGGGCTACCAAAATCAGTCTTCAAGGAAAATCTATAATGTGCGCTGCCTACGATTGCGACGGCCGCAATGATACCCTCATTGACGATATCTATTATCAGCATATCATGATCATCACGACATCTCTACAGCCCATTTCAGCCTGAAGGGCTGCGTAGCAACACGGGAAACCGCGCCAAATCGGGCATCATAAAAGATCGCAAAATCGTGCGGACATATGGACTAAATCGTTACACATCTTGACTCGAAGTCAGAACCATTTGCGCGGTTGTAACCAATTTTCAAGTGACGAGAGAGTGGGCGAATTGAGCGCTTCTTAATTTTGATTTGATTCACCTTTGTGGAGTTTTGCTGTCAGCGAGCGACAATTCCGGGTATTCAACACCCACTGCGTCATGATTGTGACACTTGCTGCTATTTGTTATTTGTATAAAGAGTGTGCCTTCTACTGCCAGTACGTTAAATGTGCATTGGTACACAGTTGAACCTGACTGCTTAGCATTTCCCATTCCACGATTGTCTCCCACTAAAACAACTCACAAATCAGCTTCCCTTCGTGCCGCTTTGGCTACTTCTCTTCCACGTTTGTGTTCAGATCCAGATCAACATATTTAACCTGTCGACTTCAAGTTCTTCAATCCGAAGCGTTACCTTTCGAATCCACATTCTTTCATCTCCGGCTCGCCTGGTCGCAACGAACTTCACAACCGCCTCTCACTCTTTTTCCTCTCAACCCAGAGCATCATGCTGTCTGCTCCGCGGGTTTTAGCTTCCCTCTCAGTCGTTGCCACTCTCTTGCGACCAGTACTAGGGCATTGCAAAATCGTCACCGTAGCATCCACGCTCAGCGCACCCGGACCTCATAGCCACGGCTTTGGGATTGTATGCTTTATTCAGATTCTCAGATTTTGTTGCTGAAGGATTACTCACTTTGCACTCTCTCCAACCTTACTCAACAGGATTTACACAACAAGTACCCCTGGAAAGTCGGGCAACCTGGAGATGTTGGTTTTTTTTGCTTTTTTTCATCCGTCATGTTCTGGGTTGCTTACCCCAAGTTTGAAATCTGGTTCAGGCTGGCGCAGACGCACCTTTCTTCTCTCCTCACGTTGAATACGTTCCTAATCCCCAGCATCCCTGCGGAGAACTCGTCACATTGCCAAAGGGCCTGGATGTTCAATCCCACATGTCACAAGGTGAATTTAACCCACACTTCGCTTATCTCGACTGGGTACTGACTTGCTTTCACAATGCTATCCAGCCGAGGCATCTGGCGTTGCGACGACAGCGTCTGATGGCTCGTTCGAAGCCCTGATCTTTCAAGTAAACCGGGATGGTGGTGGCGCATGCACCTGTGAATTTGATACTGTGAGGGATAAATGTGTTCGATTTGGAAAAGTTGAATAGATCTAACCCTTGGAACGAACACTACGGGCTCTGAAATACTAGACTGGTACTGCTAAGTCGTGGAATCGCTGCAAGACGTTGGTCAATCCACCCGGAATTCAAGGAATGTGGCAAAGCGACCGAACCAACCACACTGCTAAGTTCCAAATGCCCAGGTCAGCGTTAAACTTGTCTGATTTCAACCTTGACAGTTAGAAATGTTATTGAAACTAGCTCTTCGTGGCTTATCTCCATTCTACCAGCTCGACCGTTTGTCGAGGTGGTGTTTACAAAGACAAATGTTTGATGCGCATTCGATGCGGTGAGTATTTCAGATCTTGAACTTCTTCGAACGTCAATCGATCTTGTTACTCAGAACAGATATTATTCACTCACAGGCTGGAAACTTCGGTTCGGTGGCTGTTTTGCTTTGAAGACACCTTCAAGCCCCCGACCGTTGAAACTTAAGGTGACCGGTGGCGGGTCAAGCGCGCCTTCATCGAGTGAGCCTTTGCCTGATGATGGGGGTTTTTGTATTCTTAGCAAACATTGACATATTGTTTTAAAACTCCAACAGACGTAGATTCCATGGCCGCAAAGATATTTCAGAACATGCAGGCCAAAGGCGCTCTAAAACCTACTGGTGGTGACAAAGCATCACCCAAGCAACACCGATCAGCGGATGTCGCGCCTCGCGCGGAGCAAAACAAATCCCAGGTCGATGCAGTTGCATTAAAGGTCATGCAGTTAATCAAGCAGCACAACATGAAAGTCGTCCAGCCAAAGGCTGTCATGTTGGCCAAATCCTACGCGTGAATTCAGTGGTTGCGACATCTGAAAGACCATATATATTTCGGGTTATTGTTTATTTCGCTCAAATGCAGTTTGTTGACGTAGTTTGGTATTTAGTTTCAATATCTCTTGGGCCTCAGTTCATGATTTTTAGGCAAAGGTCATCGGTCAATATGTTCGACCAGTCAGCAGTAGTAGTTACAGACAGAAACAGCTTTATCTTTTCCCTCCTCTTTTCACATTCTCGCAAATATTTCTCGCCAGTTTTGATAAACTTTGGAAGTTTTACCGCATCACATATCTATTTGATCTTTGACTCTCAAATGATATTTTTCTCCTGATCTGAGTAGTAGTGCTATAAAGACTTTGATTGCGCTACCATTGTAGACTACTTTGCCGTTCATTTCTAATGTCAATGATCATGGTTCTGCTTTCACAACATCAAGAGCATCGTCTCATGGGGGACTGAAGACAAGAGGTCGAGGTGTGTTAGGTATGTACATGCATATTCACAACTGTGAAGCACCTGCTTCGATTTACCACCACACGTTAGTTGCAAAAGCATCAGAGGGCAATGGAAAGGTGGTTACGAACAAGTGACACTGATAGGCTGTTAGAATATGAGCTCGCAACACTGCACATACAGTATACGCAGCGTTGCTGACTCAAGCACAATTCTCACCATCAGCAAAATCGACAAACCTAACCTAATCAACACCCCGCTCCATAAAAACCTCGACACCAACCGCTACTTCTAGTTTCTCTTTCTTCACACGCTTTATCATAAAACGCTTGTGAAGAATAGAGAAACTAGTAAGTCAAAATCCCTAACCTCAAATCAACATACCCGAACTCGAAACTAATCTGGATTCTTTCTCCTTTTCTTCACTTCTTTTGTTTCTCTCATTGAATAGATAATCTATTGCGTGTCCTTCCAAAAACCTCATCCCCAAAACCCACAACAACACTCGCTGTGCTCGTGCAGGTATGCACTACTTATATTTTTCCGTTTCTCATCTATCATAAAAATGTTTTTCATTGTTTATCTAATGTTTTTCTCAACACTCTCATTCTTTTCATTTTTCATCTCAGGTGTGTGAATACTCAGGTGTCGTCGTTGCTATAAGAACAACTCCGACTCATTTATTATCTTCATCAGGTTCGCTCTCTTTCTCACACACATATGTTTTCTCACATCTTGTTTCTTTCTTTCTCTCTTATTATTCTCTTTTTATCGAAATATCAATAATACACGCTTTATCATAAAACGCTTGTGAAGAATAGAGAAACTAATAATCTATTGCGTGTCCTTCCAAAAACCTCATCCCCAAAACCCACAACAACACTCGCTGTGCTCGTGCAGGTGTGTGAATACTCAGGTGTCGTCGTTGCTATAAGAACAACTCCGACTCATTTATTATCTTCATCAGGTGTGTGAATACTCAGGTGTCGTCGTTGCTATAAGAACAACTCCGACTCATTTATTATCTTCATCAGGTGTCTGTTTGATCGATCCCACCTAAAAAATTACATGGTAGCGAGAGCTTTCAGTTCATCAACGAATCATCAACAAAAATGCCACAAGCCATCGATACAACCGCTGAACTCCAAAAGAACGCAATCAAGAATGCTTCTCATCGAGGAGGTATGATCCTGAGCAACGACCAAGCTCACGCATTCGGAATATCGGCCACTTTAAATAAAATCAAAGGCATCGAAGCTCTCACCGACAACAATTTCATGGTCTGGTCTCGACAGGTGATCGGGTCTCTCGAAATCCTATTTCTTCACGGATACGTCATCGACAAATTCTATGAAGATAACGGAGTTTCTCACGACATTAACAATATAAATAGAAGGTGTATACTCGAATTCCTTTATTCCCGAATGGACTCCGACAACTCAACCAGATTCCGAGCGGCTTACAACGACATCAATATCCCTCTTGTTCAATTAGATGAAGACGAAGATGATGAAGACGCCAAAGACCCCAGCATCCAACAGATACCTGAATCTGTAAAAGGACCAGCTCACCTCTGGACCGCAATAAAGACTTTTCACCAGTCTGACAATGAAGCAAATCTCTATCTCATTCAATCCAAGATAGAAAAGTTCACCCAAGACTTTAAGACATCCATCACAGCACATATCGATTCATTCTCCAAACTCAAGAGCGAACTCGCAAATCGAGGAGGTCACATCAATGAATCTCAACTAGGTCGACGACTCCTCCACTCCCTAAACGAATCACACATCACTGAAGTACGAACCATACTTTGCACCGTCAAGCCAATCACAACTCGCGCTGTCATTGACGCACTCAAACAGTACGAGGATGAAAACATCGAGTTTTCCTTCTCAGGCGCCACAAAGATCACCGCTGGAATCGGTAACATGAAGATGGCCGGTAACACATCAAAGCCTCAAAAATTTCAAGGAAAAGCCAAATGCACTATCACACAATGCCTAGGCCCACATGCCGCCAAGTCTTGCTTCCAACGACCCGAGAACGCCAAAGCCCAAAAAGAGTGGTACGAAAAGCGCGGACTGACTCCGCCCGGCGCCAACAATACTGAAGAAAGAAATCCCATTGACTCCGGTAGCAATCATGCCCCTCAGGGAGAAGTTTTCTTTACTCAATCAATCCCAAGACCCAAAAAGGATTACGTATTCGTGGCGTATGGAAATGAAGCCAATCTCGTCCATTCCAAACTCGAAGCCATATGGGATACTGGAGCATCAAGTCACATGTTTAATGACTTCCGATTTTTCTCAAACGTCAAAAACAACTCCAAGAAGCTCGACTCCATCATGACGGCCGGCTCAGAAGAACTCAGTGTTGAAGCAATTGGCGAAGTAGCTATAAAAGGAGTGTCCGTCGAAAAGTTCACGCTTCGCGACTCCCTCTACATCCCGAATATCCGAAACAATCTCATCGCCGCCGGCGCACTCAAGAGGAAGGGGGCAACTGAAGTCCAAGACCCCAGCGATCAATCGAAGTTCAATATCGTGTTTGATGGCGAGATTTTTCTACACGGTCGATACGTCAACAACCTCATGGTAGTCAAGATTGATCCGGTTAGCCATTTTTACATCAATAATCCGAAAGAATCACATGAAGCTAATGTTATTGATGTCAAAACAGCACACAACCGACTAGGTCACCTCAACAAGGACTACCTCAAGAAAACGGTTGATGCGGAAGGAAAGCTGGAAGACGTGTGTGATACCTGCAAGCTCACGAAATCAACTAAACTCCCCTTCTCCGGCACTAAACCTCTCAGCCGTCACCCCCTAGATAACATACACATAGATCTTAGCGGCATCATCCGAACCCCTTGTATATTCAATTACTCTTATTTCATGTTAATCATCGACGAATTTACTAGGATGACTTTCATATTTTTCTTGAAATCAAAAACAAAGGAAGAAATTTTCTGCGCTATCAACCTCTTCATCACACGTGCCGAAAGACACTGCGATAGGAAAGTAAAAATGATCACCACAGATGGAGGCGGGGAATTCATCAACTCCCTCCTGATCCCCTTCTGCGACTCAATCGGTATTGTTAAGAACACTACAGCGCCGTATACCCCTCAGCAGAACGGCCTAGTGGAAAGATACATGAGAACTATAGTCACTAAGGCGAGATCATTCCTATCCTTTAGTGGAGTCCCTACACGTTTCTGGAGCTTAGCTTGCGACGCAGCTGTATTCGTTCAAAACCGAATATTCAATCGTGCCAGGAATGGATTAATGGAATCGCCTTACGAGCTCTGGTACAAGCATAAGCCCAACTTGGATTACGTGCGAACCTTCGGCTGTCTAGCATACATTCATATTCGAGACGAAAAGCGAGCAAGCAAGTTCCATGAAACATCCCAGAAAGGAATTCTCCTTGGTTTCGATGAATTCAATCGCAATTACCTCATTTTTGACTATGACAGCCATAAGATCATCAACACTCATGACGTATCTTTTGATGAGAGCTGTTTCCCAGAAAAAGGGGATGGCATAAGTGAACAATTCATTATTGATGACGAAGGAGAAGAAGATCCGAACACCACTCAAACAGCTGTAGAAGTGTCAGAGGAGGAATATTCGTCTGGTGAAAGCGAACATGAAGATCAAATTCAAATTGCAAACCTTGACAAGCCTACCCAACGACTGAAGATTATCCCTCCAAAACCCCCTCAAAATCACCCGGACCACCCTAATTACGTTAGAAGATCGACCAGGATTAGTCAGCTCCCCAAACGATCCTATCAAACGGGACCCGGACAATGCTTCAATGCCCAAATCCTTGATCCCAAATTCGAGCCCAAGAATTTCAGAGAAATTCAACGGTCAAATTTTAAGGACAGGTGGACAGAAGCATGCGAAAAGGAAATCAACGGTTTTGAGAAGCTACACGTGTTCTCACTTGTCGACCGACCTTTAGGAAGGAAGATAATTTGTGGTAGATGGGTATTTAAAGTCAAACTCCTACCAAGCGGAGACATTTCCAAGTACAAGGCCCGATATGTCGCAAAAGGGTTCACGCAAGAGGAAGGAGTCGATTTCGACAAAATCTTTTCTCCTACCGGAAGACCAGCGTCCTTGCGCTTAATTATCGCCCTAGCTGCTCAGATGGGGTGGGTAATTGAACAGATGGACGCGGTTGCCGCCTTCCTGAATAGTCCGCTTGACGAAGAGATTTATCTGGAACAACCTGAAGGCTTCGAGGTCGGTGGAAAGGGGAAGGTATGGAAGCTTCACAAATCAATCTATGGACTAAAACAATCTGCTCGACTATGGCATATCGAAGTTGAGAAGCACCTCACTCAGATAGGATTCATCAAGACCAACGCCGATTCCTGTGTCTTCTTTCGGAATTCTGCCGGGAAAAGAAGTATCCTCTACCTGCACGTCGACGACATGATAATCACGGGTGATGAGATCGACGTTGTAAAAGAGGAGATCAAATCGAAATGGGCAATGGAAGATCTAGGTGTCCCCAAATTCGTCATAGGACTCGAACTCGAACGTGAAGCCTCCGGTGATTACATTCTCCATCAACAAGGCATGATTCAAAATGTCATTGAAAAGTTCAACATGGCGAATTTCAAGCCTGCCTGTACCCCCTTTGGATACAACGCCAAGCTGATCAAATCATTGGATGCCGAACATGAAAGTTTCGTCAAGCTCAACACGAGATATCGTAGTGCTATTGGGTCCCTGATGTATATTGCGATATGCACTCGCCCAGATATAAGCTTCACAGTCGGCGTCCTATCTAGATTTCTGGAAAAGCCTAATCAACAACATTGGGACGCATTCCTTCATGTACTCCGATACCTCAAAGCAACAATCTCCCTAAGCATCAGGTATAAACACCACCCAAGCGAAAAACTCAGTGCCAATCCAAGTTGGAACTTCCCCGAATGCGCAAGCGACGCCGACTGGGCTGGCGACAAATCCACTCTCTGATCCACCACCGGCTACATTTTCAAATACATGGGCGGGGCTATCAGTTGGAGAAGCAGGCTCCAGCAAACAGTTGCACTTTCATCAACCGAAGCTGAATACCGAGCTATCACAGAGGCGGGACAGGAAGCGCTCTGGATACTCAAGCTTATGAAGGAGTTATGCATGGAAGTACCTGTTCCCCTTGAGCTCGTATGCAACAATCTAAGCGCCATCCACCTCGCGGAGGACCCAGTTCATCACGGAAGGGTCAAACACGTGGCCATAGAGCACCATTGGATTCGGGAACATGTGCATGAAGGGACCTTCAAGATGAAGCACACATATACCTCGAACATGATAGCCGACATCTTTACCAAGAATCTCGGGAAGAAACCATTCTTCAAATTTCGCGATATGATTGGACTTTCTGATACGGTTTCGAATTGAGGGCGGCTGTTAGAATATGAGCTCGCAACACTGCGCATACAGTATACGCAGCGTTGCTGACTCAAGCACAATTCTCACCATCAGCAAAATCGACAAACCTAACCTAATCAACACCCCGCTCCATAAAAACCTCGACACCAACCGCTACTTCTAGTTTCTCTTTCTTCACACGCTTTATCATAAAACGCTTGTGAAGAATAGAGAAACTAGTAAGTCAAAATCCCTAACCTCAAATCAACATACCCGAACTCGAAACTAATCTGGATTCTTTCTCCTTTTCTTCACTTCTTTTGTTTCTCTCATTGAATAGATAATCTATTGCGTGTCCTTCCAAAAACCTCATCCCCAAAACCCACAACAACACTCGCTGTGCTCGTGCAGGTATGCACTACTTATATTTTTCCGTTTCTCATCTATCATAAAAATGTTTTTCATTGTTTATCTAATGTTTTTCTCAACACTCTCATTCTTTTCATTTTTCATCTCAGGTGTGTGAATACTCAGGTGTCGTCGTTGCTATAAGAACAACTCCGACTCATTTATTATCTTCATCAGGTTCGCTCTCTTTCTCACACACATATGTTTTCTCACATCTTGTTTCTTTCTTTCTCTCTTATTATTCTCTTTTTATCGAAATATCAATAATACACGCTTTATCATAAAACGCTTGTGAAGAATAGAGAAACTAATAATCTATTGCGTGTCCTTCCAAAAACCTCATCCCCAAAACCCACAACAACACTCGCTGTGCTCGTGCAGGTGTGTGAATACTCAGGTGTCGTCGTTGCTATAAGAACAACTCCGACTCATTTATTATCTTCATCAGGTGTGTGAATACTCAGGTGTCGTCGTTGCTATAAGAACAACTCCGACTCATTTATTATCTTCATCAGGTGTCTGTTTGATCAATCCCACCTAAAAAATTACATAGGCTGCCGGAGCCAAGGGTCAATAATGACAAGTGAAGAAATGATATTCAAGAGAGGGGGCACGCCACACAACATATTGTGTTTTACAAAAATCTAGAACTGTTTCCTATTTTTTCTTTTGTTAGAAAAGAACCTAAAGATGGCACTCAGGACCCGGGTACCCGCCGCAGGTATGGGTACCTGTTCAATTTTTGCCCTAAACAGATACCAGGCACCCCACCTGGTACTGCCTGGGCGGGTACCAGCGGTACTTGGGAGGTGTACCGGCGGTACTTGCACTCAAAAGATACAAATATAATTGCATTCTCTTTTTAATTCAATATCCCATGCTTCAGTCATCATCTAAATGTATGACCTTTGCATTCCCCTTCCCCTTTGACTTGGCCTTCTTCTCTGCCTGTATTTTATCCTTCCACTTCGCCAAAACCCCTTCTTTAATCAAACCGTTCTTTGAATAGAAAGCCACAGTCATCCCCCTGCTCAACAAACAAGCTGATAGCCTATGTCTCTTGGTTGAGACATAATCACACCCAAAACTAAACACCCGTTGTAAGACTCAAAAAGTGATTGTAAGATCCTTTTTTCTGAATGGAGAAAGGGATGAAATGAGCTGCAAACTCTGACTTTCTATGTTATCAGAGATCAAGACCACCAAGTTAAGCTTGGCAGTTTGGTTAGTGATAATGGATTATGTTCAAAGATGGTTGTATAATTGTTGAAGGTTGATTTTGTTGTCCAAAGAATTGATTGAGTTGTTGATGTTGTTCTTGTCTTGATGTCTTGATGCTGTATATGTGTAATGTGATAGAGTTGGTTCTTGAACCCAAACAAGCTGGGAGCACTTTGCTTCAACCAGGACTGGAACACAGGACTGGCTCTTCTGTGTAATGTTTGTGAAATGAACTGTGTATATATTTCAATCTGTGAACTGTACTACTCGTGAACTTCTTGTGTAATAAATCTATGTAATCTGTGACAGGTGTCCCACAAAAAATGTGTACTGAGTGGGATGAGGAGGGAACAACTGGCAGGCAGAGGCCTCCTTATATAGTAAAATATGAGGGATTTTAGCCCCAAGGGACCCCCTGGTTGAGGCATTTTAGCTTCCCTATCCTTGAAAATCCTGAGGGATTTTGGCTAGACTATCTACAACACATTCCTTTTATATGTAAGCTGTAAGAAAGGAATTCATGTGTTCTGTGGCTGAATAAATGGGAATTTAACTGGTACAACTGGTGGTCAACTTGTAGTTCTGTAAGAATAAAAGGAATTAATTATGCATAAAAGGAATTAATTATGCATAGAAGGAATTCAATATGCATTATGCAATATACCCCCATGCAATTTACCCTCCAGCTGAATGCCTCTGATCCTGTGATTCTCAGTGTGACATCCTTGATTCTGCGTAACTTCTGATCCAGTAGGGATATGAGGGTGGTTCCAGTGAGTGACTAGGGGTTAAATTGGCCGCATTTATGACGTCCATTAGTCCATATCTTGAGCCCTTCATTGATAAATACACAGGAATAATGACCACACCATTCAACATCAACTGATGTTGCTGCATGATGCAGATGTCTATTGTCAGTGCAAGTAACAAAGCATAATTTGAGGTGCATGACAACTCACCGGGACAACTAAGTACATCCAAAGCCATATTTAACAGGCCCCCGTGAGTGTTTCCCTCTCTCTTTTGTTGGATCTGCCATTTTAAGGGATTGATTGGTTTGTTGTTGTCCAAGATGAGCCCCCCTGCCAGCCACACTTATGAACACCTTGGGCCGCGGACGTGCTGCTAAGGCCAGCTAGCATGCTAGTCTTGGGCTATGTAAAATGTGATGTTGGGTCAATAAGTAGACAGAGTTGCACTGATTAGAGTGAACCATTCACCTTGGAGCTTGTAGTTGCGGGGGATGAGATTATCAGAGCTGATGGTTGAGGTTTGTAAAATGTTACCCACATCTCCCGAGCAAGATGTATAGCTTCTGCAATCCACTTTGGCTCCCATTGGGATAGCTTGAAATACTCATCCCTAAATGATGGGTGGAGAACTGAAGCAGAATCTCATTAGTGATAATTACAATTTTGAATACTATCAATGAAGGAATCTAGACATACCGCTGGCTATCCTATAAAGAGGTGAGCCATCTGTCATGCTGTAATACTTATTTGTTATTTTTAAACCAATCTGACATGCATTTTTCAAAGCAGGTGGATGCTTTGAACCACTGATTACTGTTGACAAATGCTCTGTGATTTGATTGATAAAAACAACAATGTTAGCTAGGCAAGCCGAGCCCAATACCAATAATTGCAGGGTGATCTCATAGAAAGAATAGGTCAGCTACAATTGAATCAAGCTTGCCAAAGATGAAGGATACTTGCTTACTTTAGCCAAACTCTCCTTACAACATTTAATCGTATACCAATCACCTTCCTCCTCCTCGCTCACTTGTTCAATATCATCAATATCGAGTGATTCCAAGTCCTCGCAATCATCTTGGTCAACACTTCCAACCTCACTTGATTGGTAATCTTCATTGGAGGAGTCATCAATGTTGTTTTTGGAGCTAGAAAGGGTGTAGAGATGATCAGTGGCTTGTAAATGAGCAGGGATGTCACTGGATGTGCTTACGTTATAATGTTTTCCACAGGGGAATCATTGGCTGATTTGGAGTCATCAGAGTAATTTGGAGGAATTTGTGCTTGATTGCTTGAACCCTTTGTTTGCTTCTGATTTCCGAATGGTCGGAGTATTCCTTGAACAATTAAATTAAGCACATGTGCGAAGCAGCGAATCCAATGTGGCTTGCCTTTGAAGCGGGCCCACTTCTGCTTCTTCAGCTCTCTTACCATGACCATGTTATTTGATGCATTGTCACTGAAGATGCCACATATCTGGAGGGAAGTCGATTGGTCAGCCTTGGATTTTAGCAAAAAAACCTGCCAAACACAACCAGAAAAAAACCTGTACCTTTTGCTAAACACCAAACTTCTCCACAACAGCGCGGACCGCCTCAGCAAGGTAATCACCAGTGTGGCTTTGAGATATTCAAATGAAGTCAAGGGGAAACACCTCTAGCTTTATATCACCAGGGCTGTTATCTACTAATCAATAGATGACAATCCCCAGGATATCAAAGATTTTTGGGGATTGCCAAGCATCAACCCCTAGATACAATTCGCCGGTGTGTTCCTAGAAGGGGGGGAGAAATAAGACAAGCAAAAAGATCTGTATTAATGAGAGATATAGATACTGATTGCCAGATAGTGGTTAGGTGCCAGCTCTGGTCTCTTATGTGACCAAGAGTTGATGGGATAAAGGGTCACACTATAGCCAAAGAGTGGCCAGTGGAAATAAAGTCCAACTCTACACTGGTACAGTGGAGGGACTGGCTCCTTATAATAATAAGGGACAACAGTGGAATGAGCTTCACTGTGCCAGAGCTTAAGAGAGTAGAGGAATAGAGTTGTACTAGTCTTATAAGTTAATAAGGTAACTTATAAAGACTAGTAATGAGATAAGGAGAAATGTAATAAGTAAAGTACAATGATTTACTGTAAAAACCCCACTCACTAAGTTGTTTATAATAACTGGTAAGGTAATTGGGTTTTTATGGTAATATTGTCTGGGGGATGAATCTCAGGGAGAGAGACATCCTCTTAAATATTACAGAGCAGGGGTCAATCTGCTGCTGGGACCGGTGCAGTCCCCTTATTGTTACACTTTTCCTTGGGGGAAAGTGTCAGGATATTCAGAGCATGCTAAATGTACATGTGCTGAATATCCTTTATTTCAGAAAATACCATAAGAGAGATAAACATAATAATCATATACACAAGAGAGGTAAATAGGATAATCATCTCTTGGATACACCCAGGAGATAATTATCCTTTTCAACTTGATTATAATTTTCATGGAAGAGGTAAATTAATAAAGAGGTGAATCTTTATTAATTTACAGAATAATTATTAACATAAAAAATACATGTAAAAAGGGATAACACTATTTTATAATTATTAACTTAAAGATTACATATAATAATAATTGTTATGTAACCCAAGGGGGTTACATTCTATTGTAGACACCTGGGCTAGTGTCTCAGTGTCTGACATTAGGGGTATACCGTCAGAACGTTCTTGTAGCTCTGTTGTATTGCTGAGTAAAGCTGGTGGATGTCCTTTGACACTGTGCGTCTGCTTGGTAGATTCTTTACAACAGTTGGATGGAGGATAGCTTGATGGCTGTCATCAACCA